TACTAAGAACAAGTAAATAGGCTGGCAAAGGAGTAGACAACTTTCACTTGGTTAAAAAGAATGGTAGAAGACAGTTATTTCAGCTGCTCCTTGATGCATCTGTGAGAAAATTGGGTAGCGAGAAAAAATGAAAAATACCTACCATTGTGCAAGATAAATCTAAGCCTCCCAGGCCCATAGAAACAGGCACATTCTGATGAAAATGGGGAATACTTACAATTATCCTTTAACCAAGAAGTGGTTTTCAGTAATTCATCACCACAAGTTGAATTATTCAGACACAAGAAGTGGTCCATTTTTACTGCACAGTGCACAAGGTCAGAAAAAGGTTACATAGACAATTTAGCAAAACTGTCCAAATAATCCAGAGCCATTCTTTATGTTCTATAATTAAACTCTTCCAAGAAGAGTGATGCCCAAACCAGAATATTATATAAAGAAGAAAGTACTGAGGCAGATTAAAATGAATCTGTATAGTCTTGAGTTTACTTTCAGAAGATAGTTTACCCAGCACTGTGCAAGTTCAATACAGTATTGTTTTTGCCTAACTTCAGTCTTGTATGGAAAAAAAAAAAGCTTTATCTCGTGAAAATTGCATATACTTTGTACTGTACAGCTGTTTAGACTAACACAAAAATAATGAACTGGCAAGGTTTCAAAATTTCAGAATTCAGGATAAATATTTATGCTGATGTTTCATTGTTAAATGATGGTAATTTTGTAATGTGAAGAAATAATATGGCAAGCTGAAGTAGTAATCAGCACACAGAGTATCACTGAAAAGAGAGAATCCTATATGTAGGCGGCAGAACTTTCATGCCTGGCAATGCAGATCACACCGAAGGCGAGGAAAGAAGTGCTCGAATATTCCAGCAGAGCAGCTGGCGTCTAGACAGGTTCAGCACAGTCTGCGGCAGTGACAATTTCACATCAAAAGTGCAAACACTGAGAAGCAAGTGGGTCTTTAAAATTAGAACAGAAGTTTCCCTAGCACTAAAGGAAGGAGGTTTTCAACTCCCTTAAAAAACAATATCCTAAAAGGAGAGGGCCACACATGAAAGAGGGTAGGGACAGGACAAGGGATTGAAAACCATCTAAAATAAACCAGGAGGGAGTAAGCTGTACCAGTTTCAAATGAATACAACTCAAGGCATCAATGCCTTTGATGAAATATCTTGTGTTTTATATGGGTGTGAGTCTTATCTCTGCATACCCAAGACCCATATGAAGGCTACTTAGTGTTAACTGTGCAACAGTTTAAAACAGCTCTGTTTTCTCATAGGCTGCAAAAAGTGTTTTTGTTTAAATGGTTTTTGATGGGAAAATTGTAGGGGTTTTTTGCACCAAAAAAATGTTAGCAGAAACAAAAATGTTAGCAGGAACTGACTGCCTTCCTGGAAAAAATTTGGTCTTTCATTAGAAAACCAGAAACCTGAAATCTGAAGTCGGAGAGGTGTCAATAATAGGTCATTGTCTAAAAATCTGGATGATGATAATTTATTTCCATATTCCTAGAAATTGTCAGTGAGAACAAAAAGCAGAACTTTTCTGACTGGCCCTGTTATGGATAACAGAAGTCCTGACCCATCGGGTCCAACGTCCCAAGGTTAGAGCAGTGCAAAACTACTGTGGTTATTCTATGCTCAGGCTACCATACTGCGGTTGGCTGTCCAGCTGTCTCTTTCCACTGCAATTAGCTGCTCTCTTCCCATTAGCTTCAACAGGGATCTCTTACTGAGGACAGCTGAGAGGTGTTTGGGGAGAGCAGAGAGACAGTAGATGTTGTTTGCAGCTGGCAGAGGCTGGGAAAGAAGCCACTGAACCAACAGGAGAGACTGCACTTCATCTGAATGAACAAAGCCAGGTTTGGATTTGGAGGTAAAGGACAGGAGGACAGAAACTCCCTTCTCCGGCATGAATGGAAGATTATGTTATATACATTTAAAATGCTTCATCAACAAAGCAACATTATGCTTTATTGGTAAATCGGGGAGAGGGGGTGCTGTCATATTTGCTGTAAGTGACAGGAAGCATGCCCCATCATAGATAAGAAATGAAGTGCTGTCAGAAGAGTTACGTATGATGAGACACAGTGTTGCCCTGAAGATGGATTCTATTTATGTATGCTGCAAGGGGATGAGCCTCTCTGTTCAAGGTCTGATCACTCCTCAAGTTGCAAACTTTGGGCAGTTCACCAAGAGGTGCTCAGACCTTCAAGGCCTGGATAGCGGGGGGAGCAGGCTGGGGGAAGGGCTCACAGAACAGGAGAGGTAAAACACAAGAAGGAAAATGGAAAATTCCCACTTGCTTGGGCCAGTAGTCCTCATCCATGATTTGAAGGGATCCTTTCTTAGGGCACAAGAGGGAAATTCATTGTCTGTCTCCATTTAGTTTTAATGTTGCCGAGAAACCTGATAAAAAACCTCATGGTAGTACCTATGCTGACTGGCTGGTGATATGGATCCTTTGCCACTACGCAAACCCTTATTTACTTCAAACAGGTGACCAGTCAAAGCTTAGAAAAAGGGGAACGGTTGCTGATCTGTGCCAGATTCATGCTGGTAACCCATAGGAGACGTGACAAATTCCATATCTCATTAACCAGATTGTCAGTTTGTCAGACTGACAAACACAAACAGAAGATTTCCTGTGGCATCCATCTTTACTTCCATAGAGGAAACATCATGAATTCTGTTCCAGAATATCTATGTTTTGATAGTAAATGTTCTGGATTTCCAAGCTGTCAATTTAAATTGTTTCTAACAACAACAATAAATATGTACATGTGGCCCCACATCGCTTTTAAAATTATTAATGGACATGCCCTTCACATCTTAAACAACAGCAGCACAAATAAATGCAAGTTCAGCCATGCAAAGAAACATCCGAAAGACTATCTAAGCCATCATTTTTTCCCAAACTGTAAAGATGTTTATAGTCCTGCTAGGGAAATATAAACACTGTGGCATACCACTCCATATTTGTAAATGTTAGCTCTTCCGCAAGGTAGTAGCTGGCGATGCTATGCACTTGGTTACTGTTTCTTCATTGCCTAGAAGACCATACTGTGACAAATGGATGTTCATAAATTTAAGCAGCAAAGTGAATGGCTCACTTTAGTGAAAGGATTATAGTCTCACTCTTCTTTTCAAATATCATCTGAGTTCAAGAAATCTTCCAGAATTGGCTCCAAAAATAGGCTCCTGTTTAGCAGTTCAGCGACTAGTGGCTCCAGTGCGCCAGGGTTAATCAGAAGTAACAGCACTGGAATCAATGAAGCTGACACTGGGCATGTCCACATGTGCAATTAATATGACTGAATAAACTTTGGCATAATTTGAACCAAAGTAAACTAATCTGGACATCACCTTCTACATGTGTGTTTTCTTCTACATGTGTGTTTAAGCACAGTAATTTACTTCACTGTCAGGTAGTACTTGTGTCTAATGGGACTATACAATGGCACAGTAAGTTAGTCTACACTGGCCTAATTGTCATACGCGAGTAGACAGTGATACTTTACTTTGTGGCAAGTTAGTCTACTGTGTAGTAAAGCACACATGTAAACATGCCCATTATGGTACTGAATATATTAAATACCTATATGCAGAATTAACAAATAGATGTTTTGGGAATAATATATACCTGTATCACTGTGCTCATTCATATGATAATATTTTAAAAAATCTAATGGGGTAATTGATTATTATGAATATGTATTGTGTGTATATAGCACAATGTAATAATGCAGTATAAAGCCTGAAATTGTTACACCCAGTATGGAGAAGAGTCAGAGCGAAAATTCCCATGACAACCCTCTTGTGTGCATGTGTTATTGTATAATAGGGTCTTGCAAACATCCTGGTTAATATCATATACTGGTTGCCAAATATGTACTTTAAAAATAGCAATCAACTGTATAGCATACTTTGGGTGGTGCTGAAGAAGTCTCTGGTTGTTATAAAGTGGCTATGATCCTAACGTTGTGCTAGAAATGGAAAGACTGCTGAGGCAGCAGAAGCAAACCAGTGCAGGGAGATGCTTGAGTGAGAATTTGATAGATTTGGTCTTGCTCTTAGAGAGGGGAGCTTAAAACCATAATGGGAAATCATTGACTGCAGTGGAAGCACGTAAGTGCTCAGCACTTCTGAGAATCAAGCTGCTGCTTTCAATGACTAAATATGGATTTAAGATTTAGTTTGGATGCTCATAGTTTGGCACTTTAATTTACTGCTTATGCACCCGAATAAAAGTGTCCTGGTGGTTCTGAGTATACATAGCACTTACTGAAGTCAAATGGCAGCCAAGTATTTTACCCTGAGGATCCCGAATGAGACATAAGACATAGGCACATGAACAAATCATTGCAAAGTAAAAGACAGCAGGGATTGACAGCTTATCAGCTCTTCAGTAACTGGCCACGTAACTTGCTTTTACCCTAACTCATGGAAGCTTGCATCCCTTTCATTGCGAGGCAAGCTACTATTGGTTATCTTATATTTGTCATGGGGCAAGAGCATGTCTATGAGCAATTACCATGGAACAGCTGATATGCTGTAAAACTCCATCCTCTGCCTCCTGATAACTTGTTTGTGTGGCTGTGCCTTGAGTGAGGAGCAGCTGTCATTTGACTGGTCTACAAACATGAGCCTCTGGTAGCCTTTCATTAGCTGGGCAAGGGACAAGCTAAGACTTACCCTTTTCTGATAAACTATGTTCATGTTACTGCTACCTCATTCTCCTAAACTACCAGTCCTGTTTTGTGCACATGCATCCTGCCTTAAAGGTAGATTGTAAACTTGCAAGAGCAGATATTATTTTGTTGTTTTTTGCCAAAGCAGAACCTAGCATGCAGGGCCTTGGTGCTGCTGTACAATGAATAATCGTCAAATAACTGGTCCATTTTTCATACTGAAACAAGGTTGAGGTGAAGCTGCTGTTATTCTCAATTGAACACCTACTCTGCATTCTGAATTTAATTTGCTTTTTACTCATTTCAGGTTCGCAACAAGAGCAAGGCAGCCAAGGCTGGGCTCTGTGAGGGAGATGAAGTAGTATCAATCAATGGCAAGTCCTGTGCAGACTTAACATATTCTGAAGTTATTAGTCTTATGGAAGACCTAGCTGATTCCCTTCAGATGCTTATCAAAAGGTAAAGGAATCTGCAGAATGCTTTGGCACACATTCTTCTCGCTGAACACAATGCAGGAACATGAGGAAGCATACGTGTTCATTGTATGGACTTCCTACTTAACTGGAGTTGTACTCGTTATGTAGTTATGTATGTAGTTGTACTAGTTATATAGTTATGTATGTTGTTGTGTTACTATATTTACTTGAATATAAGACGAGGTTCCCACCGATCAGCACAGGGAGAAAGCCCCTTGTCTTATATTCACATACAAAGCAGAAGGGGTGAGCAGTAGTAGAGTACCCTCTTGAGCCAGGGTCAGAGGCAGTCAGACCTGCAGCAGCCTTCTGAACCCCGTTCCAGTTCCCCTCTGCACCTTCTGCCCCCTTCCCACCCCTTTCTCTCCTCCTTACTGTCAGCTACAGCTCAGCTCTGGCTCAGGGCTGGGGTCTCTGCTGCTGTACTGTAGCAAGGTTGTGGGGGGGGAGGCATTGAGCAGAGCAACTGCCCTGGGCACCAAAGTGAAGGGGTGCCAACAGGTGCTGCCCAGCTGGGGGCGGGGAGCGGGACAGAGCTGCAAGCGGCTCATCTGGGGAGGGCGCGGGGATGAAGAAAAGGCAGCTTCCACCACTGCGTGCAGTCCCAGGCAAGCACGGGGGGGTGCCCCCCAGATCTATACACAGGGTGAGGACAGGCTGCTGCTGCGGGCTTTGCCCCAGGAGCTAAACTTTGTTGCTACACCACTGCTCTCCTGGGCATGGAGCACATGGCAACTCCTTCCCCTGCCTGGCCAGTTGCAGCACTGATACCACTGCTTGGCCAGGCAAGGGCTCAGCTTCTCCATGCTGTGCTCTGGGATGGAGCAGCTCAACCAGCATCTCACAGGAAGGAGGACAGGAGGGGAGAGGAAGAGCAGAGACCAGGGAGTTGGGTGGGGGGAAGGGGCAGAGACTGGGAGGAGTTTGGAGGAAAGAGGCAGAGACTGGGGAGAGTGGGGGATGGTCACAGGTGGTGGGGAGCTGGGGGTAGGGGAGATACAGGTAGCAGGGGGGGCATGAGGGCAACGGGGAAAGAAGTGGGTGAAGCAGATGCCAAGGGGTGCACCTGATCCCTCCAGTCACTGCTTTCTCTGCTGTAGTACCGGGGGTGGGGATATAAGGCAACTTTCCAATACTTAAGTTCTGTATGTGGATAATTATAACAAATGTATCGATTTTCCATATATACAGTCTAATTATTGGGAGGGCCATTTTATATTCAGGCTCATCTTATATTCAAGTTGATACAGTAGTTATGTATTTAGGATCAGTAATTTGCCTCCTGCTTTATGCATATAAAGGATGATCGGGTTCCTAAGCTTAAGGAGAACTTCATCATTCATAAAGCACAGTTCAGTTACATAGGAGGCACAGATTCAGAGTTCAGTCTTCTAATGGTGCAGGTTTATTTATCCTCCATAGTTAGAAATCCCCCACTAACATAGTGTCTGAGCACGCCACAATCATTCATGTATTTATTGTCACAAAACCCCTTGGAGGTAAGAAAGGTTTATTATCCCTGTATGACAGCTAAGGAAGTGAGGCACAGATTTCATTAAAGTATTTTGGTGTCCAAAAATACTGATAGAACCTAAGGCATATAATGCCCCCTCTACATATTACATGTATCACTCAATTAATTTGAGGGCTTGAAAAGAACAAAGGCTTTATATATGACAAGAGCATGGTGTAAAGATATTTGCTGAAGATGACATGACACAGCCAGCGTATTCTAATTCTTCTTCTGTTTCTGTCTCTGTTACTGACACCTGAAGCAAATAATTTAACCTTAATTTCTCTATCTGGAGTGGTGATAATTACCTTTATTTTTCTTTGAAAAAACATTTGATTTTGTCAGAGAAAAGGTCTGTATAAAAGTATTTGCTGTTATCAGAATAGCAGAAGATAGGCTAGCCTAACCAGGTGCCCCACCCTGCCCCACATTTCTGCCTGATTTCAGACTAACACTGCTAACCACCTCTATTGTCAGAATATTTGTCATTTCGTGAAGGTTTTGTAATTGTGTTCCATGTGCAGCGTACACACTCACATTTCAGTATCATTTATAGTAAAGATAGGACAAAACCAGAAGAATTTTCCTAAATCTACCTTTGCTGCAAATGAAGCAGTTTCAGAAAGAGTAGATCTCCACTTGGGCTACCTTAAGTCTTGCTGGGCATGTCTACTCAAGATGCTAACTGCACAGAAGTCTAATAACACTGTGAAGTAGCATGCCATGCAAAAACTGTGCTATATGCTACTGTGCAGTAGTATTAAGCTACTGTGCATTAAGTGTCACTAAAAGCCATGTGCCAGCTCTACTGCACAGTAGCACAAGTTACTGCACTTTGATTTAGTACCTGGTTAACCAAGTACTAAACTAAATGTGCAGTAACTATGGTGCATTAATGACGGTGTAGATGCTCCCGCTGTCTCCCTGATATACAGCGTAAAGTTTGTGGAGATAATAAAAGGAGGAATATACCCATTACCCAGAGAACCTCCTCTTCTTGCCCCTCTGTGAAGGGACCAGCCACAGTTCAAGCAGAGGATGTAGCCTATGCACTGAACTAATGCTGCCATTGATATTACCTCTCCTACAAGGTGTCTGAAAAGATGAAGATAAGGCTCTTTCTATGCTTCCTCTGTACCTGCTGACAGAGCAGCACCCACAGAAAGGCTGAAATGTCCCTGTTCCATCATGTTCTCCCCTCTGGCTCTGAGTGGTATTCTGCACTGGTACGCCAGAAGTCATCTGTGGGCTCCCCATGCTCTGTATTGGGACTCTCCCATCTACCCTGTAGTTCAAAGCTATAATCTACCCTGAGTGGGAGATTCCTCTGATGCTACAGCAGGATGCTCAATTTGTGTTTTATTGAGCTGACTAATTAACTGAACCAGCTTGAATGAATAGGTCACTGGAATGCCGACAGCTGAGGACCATGGCTTACTTGCTGTGGTGTAGTTCTTGTTTCGGGATAAGTAAATATATCATGAGTGACCCCCCATGTGATATCTGCATTCTTATTCTTTTACTTCATGATGTGAGTGGTAGAAGCAGATTTTCAGAAATGATCTCATGGATGACTTTGTGCATTCTTTTACAACTGTACAACTGGCCCTAGACACTGCCACTCATGGTCATTGCTGCTGACAACTATGTTAACAGCCTGATCCCGCTGTAGTCAACACTCAACAGCAAAATTTATTTGCTTTATCTTAAAGCATTGAGATGATGAGACATCAACCTGTAAAGCAAATGCAAAACAAAATGATATTGGCTTATTGCATAACTTCTGTGTGGCATGAAATCCCTAGGACTGCCAGGGATTATGAGAGGGTGATGGGATATCTAGTTATACCTTTTAAGAATGACACAAAATGTTCAGAAGAAATTCACACTGCATAGCAATCTGCTCAACTCCCTTTCCTCAACCAAACTCCGTCCCACTCAAGAGTTTCTCCTTCCCTACTCTTCACTCTTGGTGTCTTCAGCATGGCAAAGAAAATTGAGGGACTCCGCCCTCCCCAACCAACTCCTACCATGGTTTTGTGGGAGTCTGCAAGGGTATTGTCTTCCTTCCCCACATATCCAAGGATTTTCTGAGGCAGCCAGTAAGCAACCTCACATCCTCCCTAAGCAACAGAGAAAGCAACCCTTCCCTCTTTTTTAAGAGGCAACTGTTATCTGGGAAGCATATGTTATAATACGAGTATGATACCTAATCAAGATTACACTTCAGGCATGGTCTTTGCATTCTGGCACCCTCTTTTTCATTTCAGGAAGCATTTGATTTGGTCCAAAGTTGCTGTACCAAAGGTGGGATTTTTTAAAGACATTCAGCACTGGCCTAAACCTGTTCCACTTGAAGCCATTGCTTTCTAGTTATAGTTAATGGGAGCAAAGTTAGACTAACACAGAGAGTTTTGAAAATCCCACCCTATGTCTTATTCTAAGATGGTACTTGGCCTTCAAAGGCTAGAGAAAGGTATCTTGCTGCCTTGTACATGAGAATTAGTTTTCTTGAATTAGCCCTTTCCTTTCCCCAGTCAAAACCCCCCCTGGAGAATAGCTGGGGGTGGGAGAGGCCCTAATTGGCAGCTCTTCTGCGGAGGCTACATGAAAGGAACACCTTGCTGACTTTTCACAAAACCTCTCAAGGGAGGTGCCAAAGAAGCAGTAAGAGTGGCCTCCTCTTCAGACATCATGGGTCAGTAGTTTCCAGTGCATATAGAGAATGAAGGATCTAAAAATAGGCAGATGGTTTTGGAGGAAAGAAGTGTGGTAGATGCTCAGTGCGCACCTTTCATGGCATGAGCACCACTCAAGGCCAGATTCTGCAGTGCTGATCCCACACAGCTCTGCCATTACACCAGGCAAATCCAAGCAACCAGAGCTCCTAACAATCCTTCTTCAGAGGTGGGCAGACCTGAAACAAAGCTAAGAAAGTTGATAAAATAAGATGACAAACATAACAAAATGATCAGATGGAGTACTTTACAGCTTGACACACAGACACACATTTATGTCTATAAACAGTGTAAGTATATTATAAGTAGCAAGGGCCTTTTAAGGTGGAAATCTTTCTCTCTTGTATACCCACAGTCACTGAGCTACCAATAAAGGCTAACACTTAGCTGGCTACCTCTCTCTTGCCCTCCCCCCCCCCCCCCTTTTTTTTTCACAG